TTTTTCAGAAAATTTCAAGTACAACATTGACTTTCTCACAGCTACTAAGAATGATATCCCTGACACGATTTGGATGGTCAGTCCATGCAATGAATTAATGAACAAAAACCCCGTCGCTAAAATATTATAATAAATAATCAGCTCCCTAATAATAATCGAATCCTTTTATACAACACAGTTCTGAAACTGAAAAACTAGGTTTAGAACAATCTGGTTCTGGTTGAATGTTCATGAATTTAAATTAGAGTATGGCCTCAACTCCGCCGTTGCCGGTCTCATGTCCGGATGAGAAGGGAGGAGAGTTGGAGACCGTGGAGAAGCTCAAGGACCTCGGAGTCGTGTTTACTGTTGATAGAAAATTTGATGAAAAGATCGACCGGCCAATTTGAGCAGCCAGTGGCGTTCTGCATGAGCTCGTTCGAACCATAGTAACTAAAGCATAGCTGAGTCTGAAGATATGCTGTCGGTATTTCATCCCCATGTTTACCTACGGTCAAAAGTCATGGACCATGACAGAAACACTTCGATCCCGAGTACTCGCGGCTTAAATGGACTTTCTGCGACGAGTCGCTGGCCCTGCACGCCTCGACATGATCCAGAAGAGAGATATTCGCAAGAGTCTTGGTGTACAGCCGCTGCTTCTTCAGACTGAAAAGTCAAAGCTACGATGATTTGGGGTCATGCCTCCAGAAAGGAAGACGAAGCAACTGTTTCTTGTCCAACGACCGGCAGAAAGCTCAGAGGAGACCAAGATTATCCCGGTGCAAATGTATGGAAGAAGTCCGCTCTAGACTCCAGCTGTCTTTTGTCGAAACTGAAACCCTGACACAAGATCAGGAACGTTGGAAGCACTGCCTGACGCGTCTGCCTCCGCAATCCGAAAGGAGAAACAATCATGGAAGGTGAAGATGAAGATGTGTATGACCTCATACATAATCCTACTTGATATATTTCCGCCACCGTTCGCCATAAAGGCAAACTGCCTGTAGTGTCCAAGAAATCAGCTTGTCCGAAAGTTTTTCGTCTCATTTTGTGCTCTAATTAATTATTAGAAGTTTCTTCAATTGGTGGTTGACATTAAGTCACATGAACTTCAGAACTGACTAAAACTAAATTTTTCAATAGAAAATTTTATTAGCAGCGAAGCATTTGGACCTAAACGCGATGGTTGGAGTATAACTGGAA